CCCAGATTTTTACTGATTCAGACTTTGAATGGTGCTGTCTTGGTTTGGGCCAAGGCTGCCATCGTGGTGACCTTAAAGCAGGACTGAGATCTGTTTGCTGCAAGCAGAGGTCATTTCACTGGATGCAGCCACTGGCTGGCCTGGACACCCCCTGGGTGCATTCAGCTACAACTGCACTGGGAAGGTAGGAAGCCAAGGAGGGTGGTAGAGAAGACAAGAGGCAGGATCTGAAGTTACTCTGTTCCCATCTTGCTACAGGGGTCTAGACAGGGCTAAGGAGTAGGGCTTTCAACAGGAGCCATGGGATGAGACAAGGCCACAGAGCAGGTGTAAGAAAGACCTTTCAGGAGAAGGAGATAAAGGAATTACAGGTCTGGAAGGCAGCAGGTCTTGTTTTCATCCTACCTAGGGCAAAACTTTCTGCAGTGCATGTGTGTATTTTTCCCCCTCAGGAAATTGGGTAATTTTCAGAAAACAACGTGGAAATTAGCAAAGAGACCACCAAAAATGCTTTCGTAGGAAAAACTTTTTAAGGTTAGTAGTACTGGAAGTCTTTTGGGAGAGGAGGGCAGGATGGGCAAAACATGAATGACTTTTAACAGTTAATAGACACTAGCACACACTTCATACTTCAGCAGAACACAGCAGAGGCACAACAACAGAGGGCTATAAACCTGGCCACAAATATATGAGAGATCATAAGTAGTAATCTTATTATTAAGAGATTCAGAATTTGCTATTCCTAGGAGAAAAATGTTTTCTACCACAATAAAATAAAGCCAAAGCATAAACCCTGAAGAGAGGTGTGCATATGCTCATACACACTGAGGATTATGCTACAGACATACAAATCTTGGGATTTACTTATCTGTGATTAAACTAAATATTAACATATCAAATTACATTAAAAAACAGACTGTCAAGAGGCAAGAAAAGTTTTTGAGTGAACCCCACTTTTTTTTTCATAATAGCTTGAAGGAGCATTAATCCATAGAAAATTCACCTATGCTTTATCATCCAGCATAGACCATCTAATAATACAATGGAATGCACTTATAGGGCATCAATTCTCACAGTCAGTAGAAACATGGAAATAGCTCTTATTAAAATCCTTAGAATTAACAAAATGTTAAACACCGAAATGTACAAATCAGACATCTACATGAAAAGAGTAGTCTCACAAACCCAAATTCATTCCAACTCCTGCTAAACAAGCCTTACAGTAATACTAGGAGAACAACAAATATTTACCTCTCATGCTTCTAAAAGGCTCATCTTCTCTTTAGATAAAGATTCTAAAAATCCTCCTCAAAATAATTACCAAGGGCCTGGGCTGATTTCTGGGGAAGAGGATGAATGGCCCTCCACTAGCTCCAGCAGAGGCCCTAATTGCCTGATTCTACTAATAGACTAATCTCAGGCACCTGGAACTAGCAGGCTCCATGCCAGGCAGACACGGCTCGGGTTACGTAAGAAATGCTCCAAATATATTCACACAAATCACTAGCCCTGCAGATGTGCAAATACTGCTTTTGTCATATTGCTGGAGAGATAGACATGTGTTTGCAGGGCTGTAGCACATAAAACCTGAAGATGAGTTCACTGTATTGCTTTAATCCCTTCCAGAGGCCAGGTGGGCATTTGGGGAGCCAGACAAGTGTGTTGATTATCCACATTATTCATTGCATTAATCCGTACAACCTTTGTCTGTGTGATACAGAGTATCTGTAATGCTCACAGCATAAATATGTAGGTGGCTGGAAAAAATATGTGCATTTCATAAGTGCCTGTTGTCTGTAAAATGAAACCTAATCAGGAAGTTAGTGTAAAACTTTGACTAAAATCTAAACAAGTCTAAACTTTGCTGATGCATAGGGTTTTTAAAATTACAGTTAAAGGATCTGGAAGTCACCAAAGAACATAAGCCTCAGTGTAAGCTTGGAGAGACAAACTACTGTACTTTTAACAAATTTTAAAAGATTTTCACAGGCAAATAATTTTCTGTGACCTCAGAAATTAAAGCAGGTGTCATACAACTTTCCATCGAACCCTCCACAAATTTCTTCTTCCCTGAGCTGATTAGGTTGATAAACATGTGTTAAATACTCAGGATGCATCTGGTTTCATTTGAGGAGGGGAGAATGATATAAACAAAACACAGTTTAACCAGAAAACAGGAGAGCAAGAACAGGCTGTCTTCCTGGTCTCTGACAAGTTGTTGAAATAGACAGCTGTCTGGTTTAGGTGGTGTTCACACAGACTGATAAGCATTAAAAAAAATTACCTTGATTTGCTCATATGCATGAAAAATAGTGTTTCTATTGCCTACATAGACACAAACATTTTAGAAGCACAGATAGGAACATCCCAAGTTATCCATGTTTTGTGGTGTTCCAGACATTTTTTTGTTCTTCAAAACACCATACAAAAAAATCATTTAAATTGATTTCTTTAGATCAGAGACCTGGAAAGATTATATTTTAGATATCAAATGAATGGCAAACTTACAGCTTCACTGAAAAAAAAATTGTACGGGTGTCATACAAGTGAAGTTCAGGTCTGAAAGTGAAAGAGGGGCAGACAAGGCCACTCAGGCCTTGTCAGCAAGCCTCAGGGTCAGTCAGCACTGAGAAAAGTCCAAACAGAAACATTTGTGCACAGCATCAGTCCCCCCTCAATGATATCTGAATTTCCAAGGTTTCTTTAAGAAGTATACTTAACTAATACTGTTTAATGAAGAAAGCCAGAATCCAGTGATACACCCTTACTAGTTTGAAGAGCATTTCAGAAGAGAACAACCCCTTTTGTCTTCTGTACTCTAGTAATTATCAGACAAGTGAACTCAATGAATTATCAACAGTTAGTGTGAACACTGAAAGACAGTATCAAAAATCCCCTTGCTCAAAGATACCAGCTATACACAGGTACCAGCTATTTAATTAACACAGTGAAGGCAACCTATGAGGTTGAGGAGAGCAGCAGAAATGACAGTATTCTGCTGATTTCCTTTATGGCAGTAATGTTCTGTGTGATGAAAGGCTTCTGCAGGTAGGAGTTTGACTTCTTCCAAACTGCTCAAACAGCAGTTTGAAAGAGTAAGCAGGAGACTGTGAATACAGAAGCATCAGACGGACAGTGCTGCTGTCACCACTTAATCCTAGGATACAGGGAGTAATCATGCCACAGATAGCAAAATGCCTCCTGTACTTCCTTCATTGACCACTAAAGAAAGCACTGAGGAAAATGAATGCTAAATTCTCACAAAGGAATGTATTTGCTTCTGTTCTCCATAGGGAAAATATTCAACACAATAGCGTCATTGCATTCTTCACTTCTCTCCAGTCACAGGTACTCCCAGCAAAGGTTACAAAAGATATGTATGCCTACGAGAACAAAAGAGATACTTCCTGGAATATTTAACAGTATATACATTAAAAAAGCAACAGGGAAAGCTGAGGATTGTATTTAAAGAAAGGGAAATGATTCAATGACTCCAAAACAAGATAATTATTGTAAAACCTCTTTTTGCTTACTCATATTTTCTTTCTTTACTTAGTCACTTATGACAAGGTCCCAGGTGATTTACCCTTCCCACGACCTTATGTCTTTTCACTGAAGTGGTGACCCCAGATATTAATGTGGGATTTGAGGCTGCCTTTTAAGGCATTTGTTCTCATTTCAGTTGCTATTGATGAGCACTTGTTTGCATAAAGGACTCTTATTACATGCGGGGTAGACATTCTCACATCCCAGGAGCTGTCGATTTATTTTGCAGCGCACGAGAGGCTGGGGTACTCCTGGGTACTCCCACCCGCCTTCCCACACAGCCTGAACTCAGCTTCACCTCTCTGAGCAGCCAGCAATCCCTCCTTGGCCAGGCCAGGCCTCCGAGCTGCTGTCCAAAGCAACAACATACAGCACTGCTAACTGTTACTGAGATTAAAAAACAAAACAAAAAAAAGATAGAGACACATATATATACATATACATATAAATATATATATATACATATATATATACGCCTGCATATATGTATACTGAGCCCAGGGGAGGATAAACAGAGTCCGTAGTTGTAAGACACAAGCGTGAATTTCAGCTGAATTCATATTAAATAGTTTGGAAATCTCTCTCATTCACTTTCTGTTGAGGGTCTAGGACTATAAGCACAAAAAGAGAAAAGCAGAAAGAAAAGGGCTTGGAAAGCAATCCTACTCTGTGGAGTGAGTGAATGCCAAGGTTTCTACTGGCTTCAGCAGGGTTTCAGCCTTTGTCATGTCAGCAAAAGTGATTATCTGTTGACAAATAAAACAGAGGAGAAAATCTTCCTTTCTACTCTGTCACAGCCTTTTCACACCTGCCTGTCTTCCCTGAAGAGTTTTGCACTGCCTACAGCCAGCAGCAGTTATGACAAAAAAAGATGGTTCCTAAGTGGAATCTCATGTAACAACTCCGGAATTTCTAAATGATTTGTGAAAACTTAGATGCAAATTGTTCCTACTTTCCCGGGAGCTCTGGGAACTGAGTCCTCTGTAGAAGCTTGATTCACAGTTGCTCCTTTGGTACTGAGTAGTAAGAGCACCACTTTTCACTTTCAGTGCTGTGGGAAAATTTAAAATTTGTTTCTGTAGGATCATGAAATGCATATTCTAACATCATATTATGTATTCAATATATTAGAAAATCTCTTTTTATCTTGTCTTTTACAAAATCTTGTCTTTTACAAGCCTTTGCATGTTAAACCATCTTTTCTGTGAGGGGGAACTGACAGGTTGCCTGCCATCAGCTACTCTCCAGCAAAATCAGCAACCCACGTTGTCAGTGTGAAAACATCTGTTGAATGGATTTATTCACTGGGGCTTAGGTGCGCGTTGGAGGGTGGGTGTCCACACTGTTTATTACAACCCTGACCTAATGAACTTAATTTGTTGACATGTTTCCTTCAGTGTCTCACTTGATCCAGTCTCACATTTCTTTCTACTGTGCTGTTTTCTTGGAAACAGGAGTTCCTGGCACATCGGCATGTCCACCAGTTGCAAATCTACCAGGCTCAGATGGCTACAGTTGGCATGGCAGGATTAGATAAACATCAACCTGTGTCCGGGACCCCATCTTCCCCCACTGATTCCACATTACCTCACCCAGACACGGACCAGCCCAGCCAGCATGTCTACACGACTGGTAGGATTCCCTAAAGACTGCTTTTAATAGGCAGGGCAAATGCATTTGTTCATGTGGGATCAACAGACTTAAATGCGTCAAATACCTCCTGCAGCAATGCGTTCAGTTTTAGCCGTACTGCTCCTCTGTTTTATGATGCTATATTGGCACCAACTCAACCAGTGCAGCTGATAAATCACAGGGTTAATATTCACACAGTCATAAATTATTATCATTGACTGGCTCTGGCAACATAGCAACAGGTGCATTTTTGGTGCCTTTAAGTCATTTGTAGCTTTTCTTTCATTTCTCTATTCTCTAGTTCTTTTCTCGGTGTTCTCGTTTCCTGTGTAAAGAGACCACCAATAAGTTGAAGAAAGACCACCAGTAAGGAGGAAAACTGCAATATAATTCTAAATGTCTTCATTTGACAAGTCAGTCTCTGCTGCAAGGTCACTCTCTCTACAGAAATAGCAAAGCTGTAGGGATGACTAGGTGATGTTGGATACAACTTCTGCATCTTTCAATGGTTGAGTGGAAGCTACAGAGGCAGGTTTTATGGTCAGGACCTGGGCATTCCAGTCACTCAGGGAACACCTCTTGGGCTGTCCAAAGCAAAGTGATTGGAACCCCAAAAATCTTCAGTCAAAGGAAAAAAAGATGACCACAGAAACCTCATTTCTTATTATGGGTAATCTAACTTTCCATGAAGGTCCATCTTTTTAAAAGCCTGAATGTCAGTATAACATTAGAGCATGGTTAGAAGTTAAGATTCACTTTGTGCACAAAAAAGGGGGAAATAAATACTTGGAGTTACTGTTTGTGAATGTTTATGCCAGAAGTATTAATTCCTTCACATCAGCTGTCAGAACTTGCCATGCCCTGAAAGTTTACTTTTCAGGCCATGACCATGGATTGATGTAGGATGGAGTCCTTAACTGGCAATGTATATGACTGTGTGAGACACTATGCCCTCCCATCTTTCCAATTAGAATGTGAACTTGGAAAGCAAAAATTTGTTTTTACTTGTTGGGTAATGAACATTCGGATTGTACAGAAAGGAACATACTAATTCACTTTCCATGAGTTTCTGCAAAAAGAACAGCTGTGTATAGACAGGATTATTAAACCAGGCCACTGTTTTTCTAGTTGTGGTTCATAGAGTCCCCAAAACATTGTAAACTCATTTTAAGAGATTCACAGAGCACACCAAAAGTGAGCTCACTGTGTGTAGGCTTCACTGTTCCATTCAAAAATCCGTAGTTTCACTGAAAAAGTTGAATGAAGTTACAAATGTAAAGGCTGCTGTTTCAGTCTGATTTCTAAGGTTTACTGACATGTCCCTTTATAATTCTCAGTAATGGGACTTGGGTCAAGGGGGTTATGTAGATATGTGGACTCATGGCATCAGCTGAACTATTCAAGACAGAAAATGTGAAGCTGAGATGGAAGAATAAGAGAAGGAATGAAATTACGTAGGACAAACACTGAATGGAGATGGTGGAAATTGGACATCCCTGGCTTGTAATCTGACACAACGAAGCCTGACAGGATCAGCAATGGAAATACAGACACTGCAACTGCAGAGTCAGGGTGTATTAAGATTAGGCAGAGAGTCTAATCTTATCCTTTCAGTAAAACATTGCTACATGAACAACACCAGAAAGAGAGAAGAGAGAAAAAAACCCCTATCTTATTCCAACAGAGATTCTCAGTCCTTCACTGAATTCCTTTCACCAAATCTGAAACATCTTTATCTTGAAGCCTTGTTTTTCTTTTATTGAATCTTTTTTCATCCTCCATTGCTCTTTCAAGATAATCATCTCTGCTCATTACTGAAAAAAAAACAACATCCTATTTTCACCTGCCCTACAACTTTATGCTTCTGCTTCTCCACTTCTGCTCTGTACCCTCCTTTCTTTCATATCCTCTAGATACTGGCTGAAGACAGTGCAATGCTGTAGCTGCTTCCAAGCTGTATCTATGCTAACAGCCAGTACCCCCTGGATGATGGACCAGCTCCAACAGAGCACATACCTCTACAATTAAACCTTTTGTTTCTGCTTGAAGAAATCTCTTTCCCTGACACGTGTCTGAGCTTACAGACTTACAAATATAAAAGCTTTATCACTGCAGTTTCTGAGTACATTGAAAATAGAGCTATTTTCTAGGTTATGAGACTCACACCTTTGGAGTGACAATGAACAGAGACTTTGCAACATAAACAGTTCTAATACAGTTTCTGTAAATAAATAGATCAATCTGTGTATTATTAACATATGGTATGTTGTGGTATAGAATGGCTTTTTTTGTGCATAGTATTTCGTGGGTCTGGATAGTGCTCTAGCATTTATTCATTCATCAGTGGAAAGAAATAAACCCAGACCCAGTTTTTCTCCAATCTTATACAGCCTTTCCAAAATCCTTTAGGATAAAAGTCCTGAGCAACCTGGTCTGATCACAGTGGTGACCTGCTCTGAGCAGAGCTGAACTACAGACCTCTGGAGGTCCCTGCCAACCTGAGCTATCCTGTGGTTCTGTGATTTTTTCCCTTAAGAGAGCACAAAATGCAACCAGCAATTGTCCACAGCAGTTGCAACACTAGCATTTTTAAAAGCATGGAAGAAAGGAATGGGTGGGTGAAAAGGGAGAAAATTCTAGTACACCGTAAAGTGAGGTTGAATTCAGACTCCAAAAATTAATGTAAAAACAGGTAGCAGGAAAACGGTTGTGGCAGATTATTACGGGGGCATCAAAATGAGCCTATATTGTTGTGAGTCATGAGAGAAAATGCTTTTAGCCAAATACCTGAAGGGAATTAGAATGATGATTGTTGTGAGAGAGTTAAGCTATATCTACACAATATATGCACAAAATAATGAGTTAAAGATGGAAAAAAGATAAAGTATACTTAATTTTCATTTAGACAGTTCACAGAATATTTGATATTATTTAGTTCAGATTTTTCTTTGGAATAATTTATTAGATATTCTTCCCTTGGGTTTTCTTATTGGTACTGTTGTTCTCCAAGGCAATTAATCTTCTTCAAAGCATGCTGTTAGCCAATGATTTTTAGATCTCTTGCTCTCCCCTCTGTTTAAAATATTATTAAAAGAAGCTGACCCAAATAAAGTATTTTGGAAATGAATGAGTGCTAGGGAGTCCCCACAAGGAAAACCTTAGTTTTTACTGACTGAATGCAAATGCAGTTACTTTTGTCCGCTGTCCTCTATCATTATATGGTTCAGTGGTGGCACCATTCCCATCTGTCATCAGGGCCACATTCTGACCTCAGTAATATTGGTGTAAATCCAGAATAAATCCACCAGTCTCAGTGGAGCTGCTCAGATTTACACAAGGAATCTGAGAGCAGAATCTGGCTACAGGCATTTGTTCTGGAGAGACAGAATAACCATATTTTATTAATATTTCACAGCAGTCTGCAATTGAAAACAGTTGCCTCCCTCCCTTCTTTTTTTTTTTTTTTTTTTTTTTTTTTTTTTTTTTTTTTTTGTGGGGTGGGGAGATTATTGGCTGAATCCTATCAGGGAAATCCTATAGGCTATTTTTAGCAGTAAACTCTACTGCTGCATTCTGGTATTGCATCAAGCACATGTGCTGTACGACCAGCAGCCACACATCTGAATCACTTGCACATCCTAAACCAATTTAAATGCTTGCAAATAAATGAAAACATATATTTTAGTCTTTTCATAAGTCAATTAATCCTTCTAGAAATAAATTTTACACTCGGTGCAAATATCTTAGTAATTAAGTTTGGAGCAGATGCTTCTGCCATGTAATACTGACCTGACCTGATTAAACTGATTTTTGATTCAGACAAAATAACCCATGTACAATAAAATTACATTTTTAGTTATATTCTATTTTGGGAAAAATACTTATGCACTAAGACGGGGATGTTTATATTTATGTCAACCAGAGGAGGCATCCTGAATATACAGTTTCAGTGTTTCACTTCAAAATTGGTTGCAACCCTGCTATAGGTAATCAAAAAGTGTCATTATTACACTCAATTCTGTGTAACAATAACATAGTAATATATACATATTTTATTTGGACTATTCAAATAATTAAAATTAAAAAATGTATTTAAAGAGTGGCAGGTAGGAGATACTTTCAACTTTCAGCTAATTTTGTTACCGTTTAACAAGTGTTTCCATTCAAATCCATTTGCTATAACTGCCCACTCTGACTAAAATCTTCTGAAAGTTCTGATGCATGTACATTCAGCATCTGAACATCTTCTCTCTTAGTCAGAGGGATGGGAGGAAATGTTTTCTAATCTACTGGTATGATGACCACTGCCGAACTACAACATGGGTAGACAACAGACTGTAGAAGTTAAAACTTTGAGTGCCAAGAAAAGGAAAGCGAGGTATGTGAACATGCACTTATTTGCGTGCATACTTCCAAACAACTTACAAAACCTCATGATAGAGCAGCAAAGAACTGCAGAGAAAGGAAATTATTAACTACTTTGACAGTGCCAGCAGATATTTTAAGCTGCATTAGTTTATCAGCTCCAGATTTTCACTGGTTGTCCTTTTTTTTTCTTTAAAAGAAAACAAAACAAGAAAGTAAACAAGAATTTATTACTAATGAGCTATCATGTTTGCTAGATAATAATTTAGCATAAACTTAGTAATGCTGCACTTAGATATTATGTTTGCATTCTCCTTATGCTAAACATAATTGTTGTATTATCATCTTGGCTTAAATAGCAAGATCCCAAAGGATCAGTTCTGAAGTGCATGAGCTAAGAAATATGGCAGCATAAATATTTCTCGAGCTGCATAATTTCTGGCTGGCTTCTAACTGAATTATCTCAGAACCTTAACTTTGAATTGCCCGCAATGTATACAGACTCTTATTCAGTAGAGCTTTTAAAGACTTTATTGATGTTCAATATCCATTCAAGAACTATGCTAAATAAAGGCTGTATTGGGCATGTTGTTGAATCTGGACTTCAATTTTGTGTTTTCTTCACTGGCTGACTTTTCAGCAGCAGGCTAACACAATTTTCCCAGAACTGTGTTGGCATCCCCAGTAGTGGTGGCACATAAGAAAGAGGTTTTGAATGCCAAATATTGCAGCTTGCAGAAATTGTTAATTTAAGTCCCTTTCAACTGTGAGGGGAAGAAAAATCCAAATGTTTCCCAAATGAAAATGGTCCACAGGGGTAAGGAAAATAATTGTTGTTCCAGACATTTTTAAGGGAAATGCAAGCAACAAGTAAATAAAGAAAATAACTTTTCAGTGTTTCAGACTTGGTTTGAAAGCCTTGAAAATTGAATTTAGCTCGAGCCTCTTCACTAAAATTTCTCTTTGGCTCCCAATACGCAGCTACAGAGCAATGTGATACTGATAGCTGTTTTGTATAAAGCTGTTCTGTCCTTGAATAAATGACCATAGAAAATTCAAAAGGTACCTTGCATTGCAGTCAAACAATAGGATTTGGTCCTAATTGAGTAGTGGGTGGAACTTTTCATTTAATGAAAAAGGACTCTGGCTGCCACTGTTTCAACTCTCTGAAACTTTCATTTGATATGCTTTGAGATCTGGAATTAATATGGTATTAGTTAAGCAGTACAAATGCAGAGTGGCATTGCCATTTCAAAATTTATTTTAAAATTTTAAAAGGTTTTACTGAATTATTTTCCTTACACTGCTATAAATATATAACATTTTCTTGTTATATATAGGTTAACAGATTCAACTAAGCTTACCCACTAGAGAAAAAGAAAACAAGTGATTCAGTAATAAGACTGATTTTTTCCTAGCCATAAAAGCTTTAACGAGACACTACTCCATTTCCTTTCTCCTTTACACTTAATTGTATTTATTAATATAATTTCTTGAGAATTAATTTTTGCCTTATTGGAATCACAAGATATTCCTTGTAAATCAAAATTCAGAGTCTCACAAAGGAAAGAGGAACTTGGGTCCAGAGAAGGGCAACAAAGAGAGTAAGTCATATGAGGAGCAGCTGAGGGAGCTGAGGTTGTTTAGCCTAGAGAAAAGGAGGCTCAGGGGAGACTTTATTGCTCTCTACAACTACCTGAAAGGAGGGTGTAGCCAGGTGGGGGTCAGTCTCTTCTCCCAGGAAACCAGCGACATGACAAGAGGAAATGTTGTCAAGCTATGCTAGGAGACAGTCAAGTTGGACATCAGGAAGAATTTCTTCACAGTAAGGGTTGTCAGGCATTGGAACAGGCTGCCCAGGGAGGTGGTGGAGTCACCAACTCTGAAGGTCTTCAACAAATGACTGGACATAGCACTTAGTGCCATGGTCCAGTTGACAAGGTGAAGATCGGTCAAAGGTTGGACTTGATGATCCTGGAGGTCTTTTCCAGCCTAAACGAATTTGTGATTCTTTGATTTTCACCTTGCTCTAATTGTCAAATAAAATCCAGTTTTGCTATGGTATGTATGACAGGGAACGGTATAATTTGCATTTTTTTCACTTATTATTTCTTATTCTGCTGTCTTTGTGCTGAAGGTGTTGTGTATGACAGTCTGATGCTGAAGCACCAGTGTATGTGTGGGAACTATGCTAATCACCCTGAACATGCTGGAAGAATCCAAAGCATCTGGTCAAGGCTGCAAGAAACTGGGTTGCTAAACAAGTGCGAGGTAATTAAGAGTTAAGACCAGATACCTGACTTGTTAAAGTAAATGTCAAATTCATTAAATGCTAAATGTGTCTTACTTCTGTAATAAGAGAGTAATTTGTCTTAGGAATTAGTTGGTCTTAACTGACAATATTAAATTAATGCATTATAGGAAAGCAGACTTCCCAAATCAGAAAATAAAGAATTTACACAGAGTCATTTATCCAGACATGATTATTCCTCACCTTTAGAAGGTAGACAAGCAGTAGTCAAACAGCAGTTGCAGTCCTTCCAATAACACAGTTCTTAACTTTTCAAACAGCTAAGGATTTTACTTCTGTAGCATCAAACATTGTTTTTTAACATAGTTTGTATCACTCCATAAGCATATTGCATCTTGTCTAATTTCAGACTTTAAAGTCTGTTTTCATAGCATTTTCATTTGCCTGGTATATAACAAGTCCCATGTGAAACCCCAAGACATTCAAGCACAATCTTCTAGGCAATATCAGAGCAAATGTGTAATTTTCTTCTGCTTTGATTTACCTCAAAAATTGCATATTAAAACATGCTTAAATCAAATATGGGCTGTGATGTTCATATATGATTTGGGTTAGTTAAAAAAAACTTTTTCCTACCATTCCCTGCTTCCTGTGAGTTGTGCAGCACTGTCAACTTTCTGCAGAAGCCTGTGGCAATTGAGGGTGCTTAAGGCACTGCAGCACAAGTTAACAAAGTTCAGCACAAATTTGCTTATGTTTTGCAGGATCCCAGAATATTTTTACAAACCCAAAGGAACTGGTTCAATATATCCCTTCGAACAGCTCTTAGTGACTGTCCATGAAGACTTTCTGCAGGCAGCCCAGTATACTGGGCAGTGAGATGTTGCAAGCACTGTAAATGGATTTGTTGTATACACTCATCTAACTAGATGGCAGCACTCTAACAGGCTAATTCTTTTTTTTTTTAGCTTGGATAATTTTTTTCAGTCTTCAGGAAGACTTTCTGTCAGCAAGGCCCTTAAGGCCACGTATCACATGAGTGGTTTCACTGGTGGGATCACATAGTTAAAGAGGAAGTTAAACACGCAGCTGAGTGCTTTACTAAAATAAAACCTAGTTACTTTTTTGACTCCGGACTCCATATTATAAAGAAAAGACAAGAGAGAGAAAATAAGAAAATGCAGTGTCCTACTATGTACTGCTTTCTCCAGTAACAAACAGATATTGATGAATAGTAAATTGTGTAGATCTGCAAAAGGTGAAAAATGGAAAAGTGGTATAGGTTAGTCTGAGGTGCATGCAGTCCAAGGGTTTCCTGGAAGATTTAATGTTTCCTCTTGCAATTCTACAAATTTCAATTTCAAAAACTGAAATATAGCCTATTAGGTCTTGCAAAATCCAGTGAGGGGGCAGAGAGGAAATAAGTCACTTCATGTTGAACAGCATTCAGCTAATTTTGAGTCCAAAGGCTGGAATGTGACATGAGCTGTCAAAATGGAAACTGATGATAAAACTGAGGAATCTCAGTGTGAAGCTGGTTTGCAGATCTGGTGTTTATTTAGATCCTCTTATGTAGCTAAAGACAGGATCACATTTGTTGATGCAATCTGTCCTTTGCTTCACTGAATTATCTAGCACTTGCCTGACATCAAACAAGTGCTTAAAACTGCTCACTTTCCAAAATAAGGAAGGCTACAGTGATATACTTAATTGGTGCTCTGGTTCTTCAGGAAAGTAATTCAGCTGAATAGATAACTCTTGTCACTAAAGGAGAGGTTATTTCATTATCCAAAATATAAAAGGCCACCATTAAGCTGCATTCTGGAATATACCACACTGAGGATGCACAGTCAAAGCATCATGGACAACTGCACTGTCTCTTCTGCTGAATTCTGAAAGCCCCCTCATGGACATTAGTATCTCTTAATACAATTTCTCACTATAATTTCCCACAGTTTTTGTCAGAAGGAGGGGAGAGATCACTGGTCACGTTTTGCCACATGCACTGCCTCATACACTCAGTCTAAAGAGCAGCTTAAGAACAGAAACATGCAACAGCCGCCTAGGAAATCCTCTGCAGTAACTGTGAACCTTCTTTATTCCTCTCTAACTAAAACAGTAGTCCCTCAGGAGGGCTGCAGTCCTGCTCTTTCTCTGCTGAGGAGTTTTAGGATCAAAGGTAGTTCAGTCAGAGGTAGCTCAGATCTTGTTACTTTGCAGTATGTGTATCCTTACGCACAGGCTTGTGCCAGGGGGCCCTCCCTATTTTCTTAATTTAACAAGAAACCCTAATGAAAATGAACAACCTGTATCTATACAATCTTTGTTATCTATAGCAGGGAGCTATATGTGCTTCCTAAGTCATGTGGTGTGGATTAACTCCTCTCACACAGCTAAGGTCTTTGGCCAAGTATACACAGAATCGTCGTCACTAACTGGGTATAGGATGATGAAAGTCATATATACTAGGCTGACACCATGCTTGCTGCAGTTCATAGATTAATTTAGCTAGATTAATCTAAGCTTAATCAATTATCTTTATATATTACCTATATATATTGCTCATATTTATCCCATTGTATTTTTAAAATATAACTTGATAAAATCATAACAAGGTTTGAATGGGGTACTAGAAGCTGTGTCTTTGCTAAGAAATAAAATGTGCCTGAGACTGTTCTCCACTCCTGCAGCCCATTGGCATGGAAAGGCCCATGTTCAAACTACCAGGAATGCTTCCTGGCCCATGCCAGTGAACATATCATGTCTGGCAGTTGTCTGGGAGAGTGCTAGCTGCTGCTCAGCCAAAACGGTGTGAAGGACCACTTTAGCAATTTAATAATACAGATGATTGTGCTTCTCTGCCTGGGAATGTTTGCTGGCACTGCTTAGTTTACTGCTGCAGACACAGCCAAGAGGACTTGCTTCTGTAGCCTGTATTTTTTCTTTCTAGCCATGAACTCTAGTTATTCAAACAACAGTTTAGAGGATATTTCCTCAATCGAGAAAACTAGTATAGCCTTCAGATTATTTTTTTTAATCATATCACTTTTCCAAACAGACAGATTAATGCCCCCATCAGCTTCCTCAAGACAAGGGAGCAACACATTCACACCATGGCCTGCCCTTGAGAGCCAGATTTGAAACACCAGTCCCCGACTGAGTCCAGGGCAGGAGAATGAAGTATTCACACACACACCACCCCCACCCCCCCATAGGGAACTTTTTTATAGCCCTGCTATATACATATTGGAAAAATAAAATTCAGACACAATATTTTTGCATTAGTTTAAAAGCTTTGTGTATATTTACTGAAATGACTGTTCGGTGTTTGTTAAAAGCTGACAAATGTAGAACAGAGAGTTAACAAATGCAGACCGGGGCAGCTAAAAGATGCAAAGATTGGCATAAAAACATCCATTATATTTTTTTTGCACTTTTCCCTTGGTAAAGAGCAATGCCTAGGCACTCTACCTTTGGGACAAAAAAAGGACTGAATTATGTTTTGGTAGTGGTGTCTACTTTCCACTTGTTCTAGGGAGAGGAAGTATTTACAGAACTCCTTTGGGGCCATAATTTGTGTACACATGACTGACATCAGGCTACAGAGATCAGCACAGGTCTAGAAAAGAAAAGAAGAATGTAGACATGGTCCCACTTTTGTGCCCCCGCCTCTACTTCCTGTGGTCCAGCAACATATTTCTTTTCAGCTTGGAATTTGATCTGAATTTTTGTAGTTTTCTGGATTAGGGAGACATCTTACACCTCCTGCCGTCCACATCTTATGGACCAAAGGGGGGAGAAGGAAAGAATTTAAAGTTGAGTCTGCCAGATCACATAGACTGAAATATATGAAAAAATTCTACTCTTTGAACCTCAATTTACCACTGAAGATTACATAATAAAGGAAAAGTTATTCTGTTTTTAAGAGCAAAAATCTTTAGAGTGTTTAACATATTCAAGTTAGGCACTGGAGGACCAAAACATATGAAGAGAGAAATGCATTTCTATGTGGGTGCCTGAGTGTCAGAGCTATGATTGCAATTCCCACATGATGGAGAGAGAACAAGCAATGTGGGTATACTGACTGGCAAAAGGCACGCTGTCAGTATTTTTTAAAAAAAGAGAATTTAACAACTATAAGAAATCTCAGAAAGGCAGGAAAAAATCTGAAGACCTTGTTTACAAACTTGATAGCCTGAGAGAATCTCCATACAAATAGCTGCAGTATAGGCAATGGACACATTACTCTGAGACCCTGGTGAGAAATATTCCTTAGTCTATGTAAATTCCTGATAGTTTAGCAGAGAGAAACAGGCAGCATCCCCTTTGTCTTTTTGAATCTCTGTCTGTGCATGAGTTTAGTCTGCTGAAAGTCTAACCAAAATCTTCAGGTTAATAGAGGTTACCTGTGTGAAATGTTAAAGGTCTATTTTAAACAGAAGACCAGACAAGGCAGTTCTCTTTGACCTTAAATTCTGTGAAAGATCAAAGCATTTTCCTGTTGTGGGGAGAATAACTTTCTAGTATTAGATTGATTTTTTTAAGCACTCAGGTGCAAGTATTTTGCTCTCCTGAGATGCATAAATTTCTCTGTTGATGAGGGAACTGCATATGTTAGAGGACAAAGCCAACACACAAATTGTCATGCATATTAGAAAAGGATGACTTGCCTTCTACTAAAGATGTAGTAGATGGGTGGATGTAGTGTTCAAATTCCTCTGAATGAAACAGATACTGTTCATATGTTCTTCTATGCTATTTCTCCTTTTTTACTGGCTTTATGCCAATTTTCTGCTACATTTTACGGTTTTGATACTCCCATGGTCAATGAAAATTAAGAAAGACACTTCAAAATAAAAAAAAGATGTGGCTAAAAGCGTATGTGTAAAGTTATACACATGCATATGTTCTGTTGTCTGATAACTCATGCTAGTGAGAGCCAGAAACTATCACTTTGCATAACTGAAATTACATGACTCCAGACTCTGGCAACAGACTTAGGACATATGCTTGTGTAGATCTGCTAAATGCTGACATCATTATGTGAGAAGGGCTATTCTTAGAAACTATTACAGATAATTTTTAATGCAATTTTTTTCCTCTGTGTAGAGCCTTAGATAGCTGGGATTTTAACTTTCATTAAAATGACTTGACAAGCAGAGATACTACAAGTATGGGATGAAAGGAACATTAAATGAGGAGATGGAAATGCAGAAACAGCACAGACGTGCACTGTTTACCCATCCCCTTCCTCCTGACATCTATGGTGTAAATGTACTTGTTGATGATGAAGGTTAGAGCTTGAGAAGCCATGAAGAAAGAGCAGATCTGGGCTCTGCCTGCCCTGGCAGCTCAGCTGATGGCTGCACTCCAAGGACCTCACTGTTGAGAGCTGCCTGGAGTGGGATGTCCTGTTTGGTGTTACTTGATTTCTGCACCAAACCTGTTTCTGCACAACCTATTTTTGCCCTAGACAACTTGGTTGGTGATATTGGGTAGTAGGTAGGCTGTTGGCAAAACATTTTGGGAGACCACTTCCAGACCAAATACGACAGATCACCCCATTGTAAGAATAGTGGCTAGCTGTGGGTCTTTTTATAGTTAAAGGAATATGGCATTTAAGACCCCCCCCCAAAAAGCCAGACAGTTAACTCTTAAACATCTCTGGAAGTTTTTGCATAACTTGTAGAAAATATACAACCAGAATGACTATTTTGCTCAAGGTTCTTTGATGGGACCTTCATAAAATTCCTCCTTACTTTTCTGATACATTTATTTTATTTGTCCTGAAAGTCAGTCCACCTTCCCAGTTTTCCTGTGGAGAATTGGGTATATAGATTTTGAAGCAGCCTGTTATAAACATAGACCTTAATGAGAATGGATGAAGGAATGAATGTTACCAGTCACCTCACTTGTGAAGAAAAATATTTTATCTGACCCAGAAGAACAATTACAGAGTTTACTGACTCCGTGAAGTCACATAATGTGCTGATTTTGATTGTGCAACTCTGTGTTAAAAGGATATGAGTGCACTGCTACAAATTCTCATGTGAGACTGGGAGAGGCTTGAAGAAATTAGAGATGAAAAAGGGTTTATTAAGTCATTTAGTTCTTGGATCATTCCCTAAAATGTTTTTTCCACTGTTGTATCTAGTCAAGTTTTAAACACTGCAAGAAATAGGGCTTCCACCATTTCCCTGAGGGGGAGCTTGTTCCACAGTCATCTATCTCTAACTCTTAGGATATTTTTCCTGATTAGTCAGAAAAAATTGCCACTGCTTAACTCAATATAAACTGTGCTCGGTTCTTCTGACCCCCCCCCCCACACTCCCCAGGCAGCTCCTTTCTTCTGTAGTGCACATTTTCGATTTATAATATTGCTTTCTTCTCTTAATGCAGAGGTTGGTGCTTTCCAGTGTATACGACAAGGTGTTGGATACAGTAAGAATTGCAACTTAACCTCTAATAAAACTAGAATTAATAGGCATTTCTGTAACATGTTAATCAGTCTACTTGAAAATAGGGTGATCTAGTTAGATAACTTTTATACCTGTTTATCTGTAGACCTTGACAGTCGGATAGATCCACAGTCTAAGCTGTGAGAGGTTTTGCCCTAGGTGTTCATAAGTACCAGATCTGCAAACAGGGTCCAAGACCTTAAAAAGAAGCCGTTTTCTCTCCACTTTATCCAATATCAACAGGAAAGTTGATCCTGGGAGCAGAACTTTGTTGACAGTGCTGTTTATTATACCCAATCCCAAACAAAATCTAATTCATGTTGCTGTGTTTGCAAAAGCTGTGCAGCACTAGCATAAACAGAGAAATAAATATGACAAACTGTAACTCCAAATACATACAAGGATGTATGTATCTGTTGAAAGTGTTAGTTTTATCTTTTCCTCCCTATCTTCCTTCCTTCCTAAACTCATTATATTTCAATGGATTTGTAGAGAGACATCCCAGATTTTTTAACGCTGATTTACATGGGGTGAGTACAGGCTGAAGAAACAGTCAAAGAGACAAACTTCACTTACAAAAATGTAAGGAAGTAAGTGAGTCAGCATGTGTAACAGCAAAAATGATCCTGGGATATTAATCATACATTAAAAACTTAAAAATATACAGAAATATTTTATTAAAGCATTTAAACTTCTTCTCCTTGTCTCTCCTCACTATGACCATATTCCTCCTAACAGCGTAAATCACAAGCACTAGTAATAATGCAAAAAACATTAATTCTCATTCCAAACACATCTGCAGCTTACAGGTGTGAATAATTTTTCGCTCTCTAAATTAGATATTTTCCTAGCCAGATTTCTTACTTAAGAAATATTTTACCTTTTGGGTTGTATCTCTTAATGTATTACGTAGAAAAGAGACAGAATCTTTTCTTTTTCTTGTATGTGAAACCTTGTATTAGGTTAACTCTACTAAGTGAGGCATTTTGTGATAAAGCACACACACATTTGTTTTTCATATAGCATTACTTTAATAAACAAATCAGTGTCACATTCCTGCATGACGCAATTTCAACCCATTATTAATCATACTAAATGTTATTTTGGACCTTTACTTTTTTTTTTTCCTCTTCTCCCTAAATATTGTCAGTGGAATATTGTAGGCCTCTGCTGTTTTCTTTCAGCGAATTCGAGGTCGAAAAGCCAGTCTGGAAGAAATACAGCTGGTTCACTCTGAACATCATTCACTGCTGTATGGCACCAGTCCCCTGAACAGACAGAAGCTGGACCCCAGGAAACTCCTAGGTCTGTACAGGCCTCTATTCTACCGAGAACAGCACATTCCAGCACTGTCATTAGTCATAGCTGGTGTCAGTTTAAAACACTTGGCAAGCAGTGTGACAAAAATTCACTTTTTCCAAATGCATTGCTATGTGGAAGGAGAATGTTACAATGGAAGCCAAATACAGTTTAGCAAAATGCACGGGTTGGAAAGCAGCTATAGAAGTTTTTCCTCATTTGCTTCAAAAATCATCAGTGTTAACCATTTACTGTAATTTTTTCTCCATTGGAGTTCAATGGCAATTTTGAATTCTATCTCCTTGTGTTCTCTGATTTGAAAACAGGAATTTAAGATACACTTGCTTGTCAGAATTGCTTGTTTGCTGTTCTCATTTGCTTTATTTCAATTATTTCAGCCATGCTGATTGCAGATAGCATGCCTAAGTTTTGCTAATAAGTGAACTTTAATGCCTTCCCATTACGCAGGATATGATGTTCTGAATAATGGGAGGGGAAAACACATTAAAATATTAAATGCCACTATGGGTGTACAGATTAGCAGAAAACCAACAGGTTTCTCAGGCCAAATATCTTCATGCATAGCCAATGCTCAGTGCCTTTTATAATATAAAAGTAGGATTAAATTGAGCTCTGCCATGAGTGTAGCATGAAGCAGATCTATTTGTCAGAAACATACAAAAAAATAGTGCATTTTGGAAATAATCTGTGAGTGAAATCCTGCCCTTTATATCCCAGCACATTGGATGCAACATTCTAATTCTCAGTTATTTTTATAACTCTTTTTCTACGATCTGGAGCTTTTCCTAAATGTAATGAAATCCAACCCAAACAAAAATAACACTAGCCAACCGAAGAAATTACTGCCACAATTCTAGTAATACATAGTAATTATTTTGCTTTGGAAACTAATGCTAAGTGTTTCTTCTGTAAGGCAGACTGTTGTTTCAGTAAGTCATAAGAGTAGATACGAAAAATTTCTTGATCGCGATGTTATATATGTACATTTTTTTTTAGCTGAGGCAACCTCAAAACTGAAAAATACTTACAGTATAATAGGTTCTGAGAAGCCTGAATTTCTAAGGTAGGAAATCCTCCTTTAAAAGAAAAGAAAAAAGGTGTTTCCAAGAAAAAGCTCTAAATTCCTGCAAAATTAAAATTTGGAAACATTTTGATTTGATTTGATCAACATTGTCAAAATGTTCCTTCTGATACAGTCAAGCATTTAATTTAATTTTTTTTGTTTGCTTAATTTAATTTTATTTTCCACATTATTTAATATAACATACATTGATATAAAATATTGTTCCAATTTTGGATCTCAGGGGTTGACCAGCATCTGGGATGCAGTGTGCAGTTGCAGATACAAGGTGAAAAAAGGAATGGACCCAGGTACCCTAACTGTGTTTCTGCTGCTGTACAGAGAATGCAGAAAGCCTTGTCTCCCCTATCTCAGAAACACATATCTTCACCCACAGTTCTTTCCTTGACACTCTCTGCCTTTTTTATTAGACACTTAGTCCAAAACGTTTATTCTCTAAGTTTATATCAAGATCACAGTCTTAGAATATATTCTGAGTGTATCCTTGGCTCAATGCCCTTTTCTGTCTCTGTTTCTAGGATGTTTTCTTGCTGCATCTCACATGGCTATTTACCAAGACAACAGTCAATAAAACACCATTCCCACATGCTTTTGCATGTGCCTGTTTTTTGGCTGGAAGCTCTAATCATTTGGGCTTCCAAACTCTTGGATAAAGGAACTTAATTGTCTCTTACACTTTTCCAAAATGCAGCGTGACTGTTCCACCTTTTGTTGTCCCCAGTTCAGTGTGGTTGAAGCAAGCCCATCCTGACATTAAAATTAACATCTTGTTATAGTACAGAAATTCACGTGTACCAAATGAGAAAAATCTAAAGAAAATGTTTCTCTTAAAAAATGTTGTCAATAACAACATTGTCTCAGAAAATATTTCTATTTCAATGAAAGTGTATTTTGTTTTCTAAGAAATACTTCCATCAAATAATGGCTTTGCATCCTATTGAAAAAGAGGACCTAATCATTCCTTTCTGTACTCCTCTACCCATTCAGAAAGACAGAGGCATCACTTTTCTCCATTCATGCTCCAGAAAAGAGTTTGTTCCCTGTTCAAAAGAGTACATCTGCTTTGTCTGAAGTTCTTTTTCTTTTTTCTTTCTTCTGTTCTGGAAGATTGCATAACAAAATGACTGCAAACTACTGATATCAGTGAGAATTATGCACACAGTTATTGTTCACCTATTCCTACTGGTTTACAAGTATAAACTTGCTTGAACTCTTGGTTTTATTTGCCCTGCATCAGGGCCTACAAATGCATCTGTTCCAACTGATCACTTCAACTTCTACACTATTGTGTAGTTAAGATTTTGACTGATGTATTTTAGTGTGTTATGTTAAACAACATGTTATGTTGCAATTTGATTGTCTTGACACGAGGGAAACTAATATGCAGACTAAGTGTCACATCACATTATGGTTTCATGTGACAGAATACAATCTTACAAATCTCTTTGACTAAGTTCAAGGGCAGAACAGTAAACAGTCCTTACAGATTTGCTTCCTTTTTCCTTCTCCAACTGTCATTAAGCGTTACTAAAAGTCAAGTTTCCAATGATTAAAAATTTGTAAAAGAGAGAAATATACTGTCAACACATTCCTGACACTGAGTCAGTATTTAGAGTATAATTAAAATATGCATTCAGAAAGCATCCATGCAATTGCAATTTCAAGTTAGTGAGAAAATAAACACTTAACAGAAAAGGCTTCGTTCTTGAGGGATGATACTCAGAATAATCAGGTTGAAAGTGACCACAATTTTTAATTTATTTTTTTTGAAAGTGAGTTTTTGCCCATCACTTTTCCTATTCATCAGACTCTCGGTCCCCAGCTGTCAACATCCTAAGCAGCTTCCTTGACTTCTGACCTCAGTTAGTTAGGGGTGCCTCAGAACCTAATTTGACAAACCAGCTTCTCCTGCCTTTGTGCATTGATATTTAAGAATACAAATCTTGGATCATTTCTAACTCTATCAGTAAATTGTTGTACTGAATCTCAAGTGATTTGCTGGTGACTACAAACTCTGCCCTAGTGCAAAGCCAAAAACGCTTGGTTATTTAAAATTTGTCTTCTACCGACTTGAAGTAAACCAATATCTTCTGGGACATCAACTTCAAACATCACGGGAGATTCTCATTTCAATTCATTTTCAGCTTTTTGCTATTGATTTTAATTTCTGGTGGAGTGTCTTGAGCTCTTTCCTTTTTGTGAGGCTATCTAAGTGATGGTCTCACTTTCTTTTAGTACAATCTTTCCCCATTGTTCTTTTCATGAAATCTCAACATTTTTCTTGTTCTGCATAGTCTGTTAACTGCTTTTTTTTTAATATCATGCAATAAGAAGTGACTATCCTGGAAAGTTTCTTGATACACTGAAAAGGCTTACACGCTTGTTTCCTCCTGTTTTAGTACTACCATTTGATTGATTTTAGAGTTCCTCCTAACCATCTGCTTTTCTGCTTTTACTTTGTGTTTGTTGTTTTTAATAGTGTTTACCATGCACAATGAGCCCATCTGCAGGGAGGTAAATGAGAATTCATCTGTTGTCTCCTGTGTCTCAACTCTGCAATGGAATTTAAGAAAAAAAGGTCTAGTCATTCAATAATCTAAAAATCCCTTCTGTTGTCTCAAATTGCATCTCATGATTCCATTAATGTCTCCTGGCACTTTAACAGCACTAATTTTTTAGTTACCTGATCAAGACTTTTTCATCTTCCTCACAGTAAAAAGTGAAAAATTGATCACTGGACCTGCTTAGCAAGAGTTCTGGAAACTCCAACCTGTACCTCTATTCTGACAATCTCCTGCAGCCAACATTTCCTTGCTTGTCTGGGGCCATCAGGACTCACAGTATGAGAATACTCTGTATAGCTGCTGCACCTGCATTTCCCCTGGTAGCTCCACAGGAGGTTTTGTTTGTCTTCTCTGGCACACTGTGCAAACTGATCAAAGACCTCAAGCCAGTTAAAAATGCATCTTGGATTTTACTCAAAGTGTAAAGCACTTTTTTAGTCTCAGACCTTGCAGTCTGGTCTCTTGTACTTCAAAGATGATGGCTGAAAATTGTCTTTATGCATTTTGTTGGCACCTGCTAAACATGAGTAACTGCAGTGTTTGCCCCTTCCCAATTGGTGGCTCCTCCAGGTTAACTCAAGTGATTCACAGTCTAATGTTTCCTCCAGACGGCAAGGTTACAAAGTCAGTTCTGTGATATGGCAGGGAAAAAGCTTATCTTCTCTTCTATGGCTGCCTTAGGATCAGATTTCATATTGGGACAGGAATTGCACCAAATCCTGAGATCCTTACCCAGTTTTCATATTGTCCTTATCAAGATAAACAGTGAATTTAGTAGTACAAAAAACCAAACCAAACCAAAACATGCAAAAAACCCCCAAGAATAAATAAAGAGTATAAATATTAAGATAAACCCTATATTAGCTAATATATAGAGTAGAACTAGCTAGAAATTAGATTCTAGAGCTTATTAAGTTTTTGTTCCCTTTAGTATAACGTATTTACTGAATAATACTAAAACAATATATATATTCATTGATGGTATGTAAATGAAGAAAATAGCATTTTTACATAGATAGGAAGACTAAGACTGCAATTTTCAAAGGAAAAGCTCTCTCAGAGAGACAAATTTAAGAAATGAACAGTTTCATTTAAGTTTAATGAGAGTTCCCTCTGTTATCAGTGAAAAGAAACAGCTATTTCTCAAGTATAATTCATCCCATCAGTCATCTAGGCTGGGTGGAGGTACCTGCCTCACTCCACCAGCTGGAGAAGAAGCTAAGATGACTAGCTTAGACAAGATGCTTATCAGCTACAGATATCGGGATGATTAGTCACCCTGGTTCAGAGTGACTTTCTGTGGAGATTTGATCATTACATTCCTTTAAAAATACTGCTTTCCAATGTTAAGATTTGTCACTGTTGCAAAACGGTACCTTAACTTTCCCATGGCTGATTTGATTTCTAAGTATTTTGATTATTTTTATACTAATATATGGCATTTTCATAGTGTAATAATAAAATCTGAATTACTGTAAAGAGTAAGGAAATACTGTTTGAGTATTTAAATGTCATTTTGATAAATTATGCTTAATGTTTCTTTTTTCTTTAATATATAGGAAACGTGTCTCAAAAACTATTTTCCTTGTTGCCTTGTGGGGGACTTGGGGTAAGTATATGTTTGGTTTTTTTGCAAGAGGGACAGCACACAACATATGTGTTTATTCATTAATACTTTAGAACTACTGCATTATCAGTTCAAAGTCTTCAGAAGCTGATAAAAAACGAAGAGATGAAACCTGAGCCATTATTGCACTATTTTTTCAAAGACACAGAAGACAGTACATTACAATAAGCATATGGAAGAGTTAGACAGCAACACATTTCATGTAAATGTACCCATTCCTTAGTTGTGCCACTTTAGGTTTTTTTACGTAAGCTCTATTCTTGAGGAAAGTAACACGGGTGCAATTTTTATAGCATAATGAGCTTTGGAGAAGCTGTTTTGTGTACTATTGAAAAGTAAATATAGTTCCACATTACTCTGAAAGGACAAAAAAATTACCAAAACTAACATTTAGCATGAAAAGGACTCACTAGCTGCTAGCTAGTAACTTGGGTATTGTTAAAGTTACAAATTATATGAGCATTTTTATGTCCTGTTTTGAAATGAATTAAACCTGAAATACAAGCTTGCAAGTATTAGGACACAGTAGACAAAAATCTCCAGACAAAAATATGTTGCAACATTAGGTAAAAGAATGAAGCTAAGTTATTGAAAAACATGTAGAATTTCTACTGATGTTGGTATCATGCTCCTATTAAATTCTAGTGAAGATAATGCCAGGGAGAAATAATTTTTCTCATACATGGGTTTTTCACACAAAAGCACTCGACACTTTTGGTCCAACTGGGTCCATTATTTACTGATGTCATCAATATGAAAGTGAAACGATCATAATTCTAGATATCAATGGGCTGTCTGGATGAGATTTCCTTCCACTGTTTCTGAGTGAATTCTCTGAGTATCTCTCTGAGTATCTGAGCGGAGATAAAGCCATAATCTCTGGAGGTCAACTTTCAATGCAACTTTCTACAGTTTTATTTACTTCTATTTTTCACAAAGGATAAATTCCATACCATACCAGTATGTTTATACAGGGGGGTTTTATGATGAGATACCTGAGAGAAGAAATATTCATTTTGTAAGGTTTTAACACACACACACAAAAAAAGAAAAAAATGCGTTTTACCTTTCAGTATTTAGTGATTTTTGAGGCTTTATCCACTATGACTTAAAAAAAAAAAGAATCAGGAAGTGATTCATTCCAGCTCCCCCACTGTAGGCCTAGCTTGCTGAAGATTCTGCCTAAAATTTGGAAGTAGTAACTCGCTAATTTGGAAACCTGGGTATCATCTCTGTACCTGATTCAGCAAACATTACATATTGACATGTACACATGTGTGTCCACATGCACCTCTGTAAACTTCTGTGTGCACATATTCACACATGCATGCATATATGCACATATTGGTGTACAAAAAAGGTAATTTTTCATACTGTTGTTGCAGAGAAAATTGAACAAGAAATGAATAAAGTTGAGAAAGAATGTTCAAGCTTCCAAGTAAAAAAATGTCTTGAAAAAATCTATTTAAGGGCCTTGGATAGTAAATAGGACTATGGCACTCTTTGAAAATTAAAGGGTAAGATTTTTCTGTGAAACAAGTTATTGTGGTATTAAAAAATTGTGACTAGAGATGTTCTTTGAAATCCTCCAACTAATGACAGTACGTTGTCCACTCTAAAGCTAACACAAGTCAGAATTGCTCAGTGTAACCTCATTTTTTTAAGCATTTAAATTAACCTACACCTTTTTTTCAGTCTGTATGCTTTATTTCTTATTTAAATTCATGGCAATTGGATTAAAGAACATGTTGTAGAAACAGATCTTTTATTTATTTTTTTTCTAGTTGGTTTGCCTTTCTACATATTATTACTGTCAGGCTTGCTGTGGGGCTTTTTTAAAGGAACGGGTTATGACCTTTTTCAAGGTAAATAATCAGATTAGGAGCTCTCTTTCAGTGATATTTAGCTGTTGATTGGTTAAGATGAGCTCTGGGATAGGGAATTGCTTCAAACTATGTGGAAAGCAATTCTTAAGTTTACTTTCAGAAATGATGGAGGAAAGAAACAAGAAATATTGCTACTTAGTAACTCTGAATTTAATTGACAGTGTAACCAATGTAAAGCAGAAAGAGTAATTCATGCAAAGACTTTAAGGACGGATGGAAGAATTTTTTTTTAATGTTTGTTGTAATTTTTTTCTTGCTTGTTTGCATCACTACTTGTTTGCTACATAATACAATGAGAAAATGTTAGGAAAAAAAATTCCATTCTTGCAGGAGACTTTATGATTGCGTTTCGAACCAGGGTTTTCAGAGGTCTTTCATCCTATTGTCTTCTAGCCAAGCAGAGACCTTGCTGGCTGTTATTATGCAGGTCTATTATGAAACAGAATAGTAGTTAGACTACTCACATAGGGGATGAGAAACCTAGGCTTAGTTCTCTACACTCCCAGGGTGGATTTAATATCAGAGATCCCATTCTTAGTGGATCTTGTTACCACACAGGAGATCAAATGTTGTTTCTTGTTGGAGACCCTCATATCACGCACTGAAGCTGTGCCACTGCTGGAAAGAGCACCAAACAAGTAAGGCAGAGCATATGTAGGATACAGCCCATGTACCTAAGGCTATAGTCTACCTATTTTATATTTATAAATACTGTGAAATCCTAGCTCTGAGGCCCTACTCCACAGAAAGCTTATAAATTTGATGTGAAAAAAATCACTGAACAGAATGAAAACTGTTCTTGGATCAAGGACTGGAACTCAGGACTTCACAGACATTGATCAACTGATGGGCTTTACAGATTGTATTGACATGAGTTTTGGATGGCTCACATTGTTCCCAAATTAAAGTCTAACTAACCTCTATAACTCTGAATTCTACTCTATTACTGATTTTGTTATCTCTGTTCTAAAACTATAGTCAACATTAGAGATCCTCTTCTTTGGATATTACTTACAGTTACAGTGAAAGAAAGTTTTTTTTCAAAAATTTTGAAAAGCAAACAAGAGGCAGTCTGTGTCCATAACTAATAGTTTCTGATCCTTTTCCATCACAGCATTATATCTTTTGTAGCAGTGCAAAATGCATATAAAGTTACAACTTACTCATTTTGTAAGCACCCTTCATCCATATGAATCTTCTTTCAAGTAGTGCTAGGGACTGGTTATGTCAGTCATTGGTGAATATGGCTTGGTATGTTAGGCTTTCTGAAGGAATCAAACAATAAACTTTACAGTTTTATAAGAAACTAAGTAAGTAATAATTAGCTTACTTATCTAAGAGCAAAAGCTGTTTCATCCTTAAAGGTAAATTGAACAGTTCTCACAAAGAGAGACAAAAAATTGTCTAAACTAACCTGCTAAATTTGCAAATAACAGTTTTTCTTTCAATTTTGGTTATTTTTCCATCATAGGACTATCCAGGGTCAGTAGTATAACATCCAGTAAAGTATGGGACCTCCCTCTTGCAATAATGCTTTTTATTCCTTTTTTTCAAGCTTAACCTTGTTCCAGAACCAACTGCTGTTAAAGAATTCTAATACCAGGGGGATGAAATTCTTTGTGTTGGAGACAGACTAGCAGCTCTACGGCCAGCAGTTTTAATAACAAGAGATGGTTTCTTGCAGCTGGTCAGAGGTTTGGAATGTGAAAAGTTTTCCAGGAGAGGTGGGTAGATTGCAGGTGAAGTGGCCAAATGGGGAGAATAATCACAAATTATATTTTGGTTCTGTGGATTGTCAGATCATTCCACAATTTTTCATCTGTAAACAGCCACCAGAGCTATGACTGATCATTTGATCAATGCATCCACCCATTGCAATTCCTATCCTGTTGTGCTGTGAAAATAACAATAAGAGAAGCAGAAATCTACTTTTAATGGGAGTAAGTTTCATCTCCTTATCTCAGTCTGTCACTAAAAATAGTGATTGTTTTCCTGCCTGTTTGACCTGCTGCTGTGTGAAGAAATCTTGAACTCATTTCTCAGCCATATTTTTTTGTCTAGCTGATAGGCAAAAAAAACCCACAAAAGGAAAGAAGAGCAGGCTTTTATGATAATGTCATCATCGGCTCCCAGCTTCAAACACTTCTGCGGCTTTTGAATTGTCATTTATAACTTGGAACTGAACCGACCCATAATTCCCTTGATGCATTTAGAGAAATTGATAACAGACTGCTTCTTTTATGGCTCAGAGGAGGCAACTCCAATCACATCACTATTGGCAGTCAATATTATTTTCTGACATGGTTGTAAAAGTATAAAGGGGCTTATGGCATTTGTTTAGATGAGGAATGGGCTCTCAAGCTGTGCTGGGGTTTATGGGTCCAGATTACTGAGAAGCAAAGGGAATATGATGTTTGCAAACAGGATATGATTTTATTTAAGTTTGGGTTTCATACGTTGTTCCCTGGGGATTTTCCTGCAGACAGAAGAGAATTTCACTTTTATCATATGAAATTGGGCAGTTATCCAATCCCCCTGCTCTACCCCCCTAAAGACACTGCTCCAAACCTGTAATGTGTAAAGTCAGACCTTTAAATTGCAAGAGGAGGAGCTGGGGAAGAACACCACCCTGCAAGAAATCAGACTTCAGAAGAATTAATGTTTAGTGAACTGAACAAAGTGGTTCATGGGCTAAACATTGAGCCATCTAAACAGCTAAGAATGACTTGTACATATAACAGAATGTCCGTTGCATTTCCTCTAATTCTGCTGTTACAGCAGTAAAACAGAGATGATATTTTCTGCTGGGATAAGCTGGTCTTGTTTTATTAACTGAAATGTAGCTTAGATCTTTCATATCAGAAGACAATTTGGTCTGTAATTACCAAGAAAAGAAATACATAGCTATAAAATCTCTCTATATTTTTACAAAATTTACAAAATATTCCTGCTTTCTGAATTGAAAATTTTCTTCCTGGCATCCCTTGCTGTGGCAGCTGGACAGTTCTACTTTTTGTCCTGACCACACAGGAAGAAATGCAATAAGAAAGGCAAGATTTCACTACTGTACAAGTTTAGTAAGTCATCCAGGAAAAA